GTTTTTCCGTGTACCAGGCGAACTTGTAGGACCTTTAGAGTCCCTTCCTCCCCCCGTTAAGAGAGTACTTGACAGGTTCGAACAGACGAAAAGGGTAAGTGAAGGGGACTTGAACCGAAATCCGAGTCTTAACGTGTTACGGTCTCCAGCTACTCGAGGTAAACTTCGTGTGGTCCCCGTAAAAAGGTGTAGTTTCCTCTTCCCCAGACGGTTGTAAACCTTTCACCGAGACACACAGAACTTCAGACGTTTTGGCGACTAGCTTAAGGAGGACATCGAAGTGTTACCGTTAGTTATATGAAGAGTGGTGACTTACGACCGGGGACAGGTACTCTCGGAACGTAACGACCCTTTACCGTCCTCCAAAAAGACTCGTCTTCGATCCGCGAAAGGTCGTTATTTGTTGGATTGTAGTCAAACATCTCCTACGAGATGTAACAGTATACGACGTGATTGTTTCTGACGGGACCGGGACGTTGGAAGAATAAGTCTCGTAAGTCGAGTACGCATCTATCTAAGTTGTTCTTGTTCTGATTTTTTCAGGTACTTGTCGGGTAACTCCTATGGTGATAGGTCGAGAGCTTTCTTGTTCGTCAGTAGGGTGGTGGAGTTCTTGGACTTTTATAAAGTTCAAGAGCAAGAGTTGAGTTTTTTGTGATGGAAGTAACTTGTTGAAAGTGGTAGTACTTAGAGCGTCTGGTTGCGGAGTACACTTGTGTCATCTCGTGTTATGTTGAGTAGAATTAAGCTGAGGTATACACGGAGGTTATCTTGTCGTGCATGGCTGACCGGTGTCCACTGTTATGAATTGCGGAGTTTAGGACCTAGGGACTGTGCGATACCAACTACGTAAAGTTAGTGTTGTCTGTGCTGTGTTAAGTGTAAACAGTTTTTTGAGTTCGTGAACGACTGTTTGCCGGAGATCACTGTACCTATTACGTCATCTGTCCCGTTATCGGATGGACAGGTGTGTGGAAGGTGGAGGTCAATAAAGTAAACTGTGTTCACCGTGTGGTGCTGTGGCAAAAAAGAGGGATCAGTTAACTACTCGTCGAGGTCCAGTGCAGGTCATTATAGTTGTTTGTGAGAAGGTACCCGTCTGGCTATAGGCGTTATTCGTAAGTGTGTCAAGCGACTAGTTATAGAGGACGTCGCCAACCGAGACCGGTACGTAACCAAAGTTACATTCATGTTTGAGAGACAGTGAAGTTTTAAACAGTAAGTTGTGGTTGCCTGTTTATGTACGCTGGACTCGCCCAGTCACTTCGGGGTTGGTCACAGAGCACGGAAGTATTCTCTGGTGGCGTCTCATACTGTGCTAGTGTTCAAACCTCTGTGTAAGACACTGGTTCTGACGGGGTAGTGGATTTTATACAGGTGTACGTATTCAGCTTTACGCGAAGTATCGTGTGATTATCATCGGATCTTGTCCGACTGGACAACAACTTCTGGGGTAAGAAAGGCTCTGTCCGCGAGAGAACGTCGGTACGTGGTGTACGGTAAATATTAAATGTTTGGCGTGAAGTTTTTCTATATTGTCTTGTTTACGGGCGTTTTTGTGTGTTATCGTTTTAGTAGAGTGAGTGTGTGTTTATCCGATTGAATTTAGCGACGGATGGTTAGGTTCGTGTAGTGTGTTAACGAAGGAAAGAACCTTCTCTAAAGAGTCAAACGAGGGTAGAGAGCGTTATTAAGAATAGAATCGAGTAGGCGACTTGAAAATAGAGAGTAGTGTAGATGTGTCCATGAAAAGCAGAGACGCAGAACAACTCATCACTCAAACGAATATGAGGAGGGGGTGACGAGTGATGATGTGCGTAAAAAGAGGCACGTATATTCAGTGCGAGCGCGAGAAGGGACAGAGTTGTTTGTTAGTGAGAGGTCAGAGGGTGAAGTAGGACTGTAAGAGAGACATTCTAGTTAGTAAGCTAAAGAGGTAGGAGAGTTGACTTTTTCAAGAGAGCGAACGTCTGGATATGCGCTTATATAATAAGACTGTAGTAGTGGGTGAGACGATCTTAGGTGAAAACCTAGGAGACCTTATACTAAGCGACCGTCGTCTGTGAACTAACGTTGGTCTGGTATTTGATCGAGGCCGCCTCAGAGGAGGCTCGGCCCTCCTGCGGCGCGCGTGGCCCTTGGATGGTGCGCGTCGTCAAGGTGACGTCGGTCGTTCGTCGTCAGTGTCGGCCCTTGATTTATTTTATACTTTGGTTTTAGTGATTGTCGCGTTTGCATTTGCGTTTGCGTTCCGTGGGTCGTTATTATGTTTTGTTGTAGTGTGAGTGTACTGAGTTCCGCGCGGTACTCTTGACAGGACCTGTCAGACTCTGTGTTGTGACGGAATCTCCGATAGAGTTAATGTATGATGTAATTAGTTAGGGTAGCTTGTGGAGTGTCTTGTATGTAGGGAGGCGACAAATGATTGTTCCAGTGTGGGCTTCTGTTGTGTCCTCTGATACGCTCGCCTCCTTGTGGAGTTTTCTGCTTCTCCTAAGAGTTGTGATAAGGAGTTGGTATGAAGGAAGGCCGTTGAGGGAGGGTTCAGGAGTTGGAGGGAGCCATTCTTACGCTGTACTTACAGTCGGCACGTACTTAACTTTTCTGGTGAGTAGCAAACGATGATTGTTACGGTGTGTTAGCTCCCTGGCTCTCTTTTTAGCTGGGGTTGTAGTCCTCCGAGAGCCTCCGTCGAGGATTAGGCTTCCCTGTGACTTTACGTATGTGAGGTGTCGGGAGTGTTAGGTGGTGGCCTGATCGTGGAGAAAGGTGTCCCGTGCACCTCCGCACTGCGCTGTTTTGGTTTGTGTTTCCGGCCTGATATAGAGTGCTGGTTAACTCTGTTGGGGGTCGAGACGTTACATGTTTGAGGAGGGACCTAGTATTATATTAAATATTGCGATTGACTGAGTAGGCAGTGCAAGGCGGCCTTGGTTGTTGTGTTGTTTGGGGGGTTTTTCAAGAATAGTTCTCTTTGCTTGTCCGACTATACTGTTCCATGGCACGTCTTTCTTGTCGGTCTGTTCCACACTAGTTTATCATATCATTGAGTCATTATAGTTGTTCTCGTAGTGTTAGTTGGTTGAGAGATTTGATGAGTTATCTATATAGACATTATCGGAAATCTCAGGAATCTTATTCTGATTTGATGTTGTGTTTCTCAGCTATGAAAGATTCCTGTCGGTGAATCACGAAGTGTATTATTTTTAGGTGTTGCTCCGAGCAGGATCGCGGACTGAGTTAGCGATAATCTCTCGTTTCACAAATCCACACAGCACCAAAGTCACACATCCTACACGGACATGTTCGCTATGTCGACACATCCATCATCTACACTTAGTGTACTATGTCTACACATCCGACACAGCACTTAGTGCCTGTTATTTGTCATACACTGTATGCCACTTCCACACATCCATGTCTACCATTCCGACACACACAACATCCATGTCGACTATCATCCGACAACACACATCCATTGTTGCACACTGAGGCACACGTTTTCTTCACAACAGCATGTTCGTACACAATCCTCTACCACACTAGGGGTTTTTTATGTCTGTGGCCATGTCACACGTACAGACTATCAGCCTTATGTCACGCATCTAACGCGACTGTATGCCGTCTAGAGTCAAACCATAACCAGGGGTATGTACGTAATGAATAATTATGTAACTATGTTGACTTATTAATCTCGGGATTAGAATGTAATGTTGGGTAAAGTCGGCTGGTGCGTTCGTCTCCCTTCTCCTCTTCTGTTGGTTTTTTTTGTTTTTGTTTGATTTTTTTTATATTTATGTGTGAACAGCTCTTCTCCACCATGAACTTCAATAAGTCAAAGTACAGGTCCAGACTTACTGATGCACATCTTCAAGCCATACTGAGGGTTTCAACTGCTTCCTCACTCAAACCAAATGTGGCTCAGCTGTGTGAGAGGAAGCGCTGCCAGGTCTCTACCAGCAAGGAGTAGGCAAGAAAGAGCAACTGTACATAGTTATGTTGTGAAGAACAGTTCATGTTAAGAAGATGTTGAAGAACTGTTAATGTTGTATTTTTTAATAAATGTTTTGCGGAATACTTGAAGCGGCCCAGACTTGCCCAGACTCTACGTCCAGCGGCCCCCAGGTAAATTGAGTCTGAGACCCCTGCTCTAAGGTCACTACCTGATCTGCAGCTCTGCCGATCTGCAGTGCGCATGTGCGAGATGGTCCGCCATATTGGACAACCCCGTACGACAACCCAAGTAGGACACTTGACACAGTGGCTTTTGGCAAAGCTCAAAAAGAAAACTCGAGAGGGATGAGTTATTGTTATTACAAAGTGACTTCACTATTATTTAACAACTCTTTTTATTGGGTTCTTTTATTTGGGATGAAGTACATTGTCAGAATAAGTGAGAAATGAATTTAACTTCTGTTAGACAGCTATCATACTGAATAAATATTTACTGTGAATGTATGCAAAAATGTATGGCATATAGCTGTCTAACAGAAGTTAAATCCATTTTTCACTGACGGAGCGTATACAACGTTAGCTTAGCCTGGTTGATCCGATCTTCATTCAGAAAACAAGCATTTTAAAAGGTTTTTTCGCCTGCCGTCTTGTCTGCAGACTTGTCAAGCATTAATTCATGGTTTTTACTAACCGGTATCAGTATACTGTTACTTCGGCATAATTTAGAAAGGTGTATTACAATTTCTTCACGGTAGAAATATGTTCATTTTTGTTGTAGTTGTAGCCCCCAAGCCAGCGCGTCCTGTTTGAATGATGCGAGTAAACACAGCTGACAGCCGCGGTGAAACTCGAGCGTTTAGAGCGATGCGATAGGAGCGATTAGAGCGGAGCGTCCGGTGTGAACGCAGCATTAAGGAGGGAATGTAAAGCTAATTAAAAAGGAATAAAGGAAAGAACAAAGAAAATATAAAGAAAGTGAGAGTAAGATTTGATCCACCTCTCTAAACAGATGCTACTTACCAGATATCTTTCAGAGGACACGCTGACCAGGATGAGATCATCCCCCACTCTGACCTTCTCCCCCTCTGACCGCTGCTTTGATGCTGGATGGATGGTCCACCAGCATGCCTCGCCTACACAGTAGGAAACACACACATACACACAAAGCAAACTATCAGATAACATAGCAGACATGGGACTCAGAGAGGAACATTAAGCCCTGTTCGGGTGCCTATCACCTCAGCCTGTGTACCACTTTTGGTAGCCTACATTTGTCTTGCAGCTGTTTTGCTTATAAAGTGCACCATTCTATACAGAAGCAGGTCAAGAACAAAAACAGGGCACACAGTGTTCTTTGCAGTCGCTTATTGTTCTGACTTTGTTAACAAGAGAAAAATACAGTGGAGAAGCACCAAGAGTCATTATGACACAGACAGAAACAACCTGACAGTATCATAACACGGAAAATAAAGACTTTAGTTTAATTCCAGAAATGACGCAGAAATACCAAACTGGACCAAGTTGATTTCCACAAAGCCTGCTCAGAGCTAACCTCTAGAAACAGATGTGTTCATGTTTGCAGAATATGAAGGCTACATTTCTGATTTCAGTTCAAGTAGAAAGGATCAATCAGGTTTCAGCAGGCTTCAGTTGTATTGAGATAAACAGTCATTGACCAAAATGCTCTCTCTGAACCCATCAGCTATTTGACAAAGATGTTGCATTTTTATTATCTTTAAATTAAGTTGAGGCCATCTATTTGTGAAACAATCCTGTCATAAACGTTGTTTCAAAATTCCAAGTCCATTCTCAAGTCTCAAGTTGCTGGTCAGACTGCGAACAATGGCAGTCACACAGACGAGGAAGCCTCCGTCCAGATATCTGGTAACAGTGGAAGCCCTGGAATATTGCTCCTTAACCAATGTGGAATGGTTTTGTTGGTAGTTCATAACTTCAAGTGAAACACTACATTTCGTCTTTATTAAAAAAAATGATTAGAGCCGTTTTAAGACGGAAGTTAACAACGACTGTGTTCAAGCCATACCTGTTGTATCTTCCTGCAGTCCAACGTCAAAAGCCAGTTTATCGGTGGATGAGCGCGAGGTGGACAGACAGCACAGGTACTAAACAGAAACACACAATTAGTTACTTCAATCCATCTGATCAATAATGTAGATCATCTTCTAATTATGTTAGGGAATTTGCAACATTTATTTTGTCTGGAGAGTTTCTTTGTGTGAATATCTACTCCTACCCTGGCAATAATTACAGGTACTGTTACATTTAGAACATTTTCATCCCAGAAAGAAACAGTATCACCTTTGAAGATTTTTCACGGAACTAACATTGTTTACTTCATATGCAGTTTGAGTCTGAAGAGATAATGGAAAGAGTAAAAAAGGTCTTTGCAAAACTTCATGCCAACAAAAAAGGTTATACTTGCTAATCCAGATAAAAAACAGAGAAACATTGATTATTCTAAAAAGAATATTTAAACAATGAATACATTACAAATAATTAAACAGTTTCTGCAATACATTCCTTATATTATATTATTATATCTATAATACTCTTAGATCCAGCAATTTGATAACTGGATTTGTATGATTTTCTCTGACAATGTTGTTGTGAATAACAGAACTACCTGTAACATGTCAATTGCTTCAATGCCATCTCAAATATTGACTCACAGAGGAGCAGGGTGAATATTACATTATGCACTACTACTCTTGGAATATTTAATTATTTTTCCAAATGAGCCTTTAGAAAGTTAAAGGTGGAGATTTAAAGTAATTGCCAGTTTAAAATGAAATGAAAATAAACCAATAAACATGAGTTTCTCAGACTGTGTGTGTGTGTGTGTGTGTGTGTGTGTGTGTGTGTGTGTGTGTGTGTGTGTGTGTGTGTGTGTGTGTGTGTGTACTGACCATCCCACTGTAGGAGTGTCTCAGCAGGACAGCGTGTCCGTACAGTAGGGTGCGATGGCCGCCGCCTTGGGCCGTCTGACGGAGACACAGTGACAGTGAGACGGAGACAAACAGCAGTTACTAAAGACACTAAGAGAAAACAGTGAGAAACAGTTTCACAGAGATATCAATAAACAGTAGAGACAGAAAGGTCAACAAACAGATGCAGACAGGAGGAGAGAGGGGGAGGCCAGCTGTACTCTACTATAGCTCTTTATCTGTAAAGCTGCAGGAAAAATATTACCTGCGAGTCTACACACTGCAATTTAAAAAAGAGTATGCACTATACACTGTAATGCTATCCATCCATCATCCTGCCACCACAGTAGATTTCAAAGGCCCTTGTGAAGGAGATAGCATCCCTAAATGATGGTATAATAACCATCCTCAGTGCTGTCTCTTCAACAATAATCAGGATGATGATTCGGGCCTCTGCAGTGAATAACACCTGATCAGGTGCACTATTGCTTTGTGTTTGGAGTGCCTCCTGGTGCATTTATTCAAACGCTCCCTATTCACAATGTGTTGCTTCCCAAACAGCTTCTCTTTACTACTTTAAAAAACCAACAAAATGAATAAAACATTTGAAAATATTTCTATTATGTTGCATGTTTCATGTGCAGGTATGTGTTCAAACACATTCTGCTCATTTTCAGGGTCATCAGTATGTAGTGTCTCTACTGGGACATGTCTCCATGCTTTAATGTTCAAAAAGCTCTTTATTTTCTCATACTGCCTGTGCTGCAGCACCTCTTTTCACCCTCTGTCTGAAACCAGAGCCCAGTCTGATCTGATCGGTTAGCTGGTTGTGATTGGGCAACCGCTATGAGATTTGTCAAAAATGTCTAGTCCCCTAGCCTATCACGTACAATGTGTTGGAAAGTCAGCCAATAGAAGGAGCGAGTGGACTTTGGGAGGGAAACTGTGGGATTGTAGCCTTTGCAGACCATTTACATGCAGCAGGACTCCAACACTGAGCCATGTAACTGAGTCCTGCTTTCTGACTGACATTTGTCTTCTTAGCAGAAAGTGCTCTAACACAACTATCTGTGTGTGTACATAATGTCTCCTGCTGCACTGCAGCTATTCTGCCCTACTCCCAGTGAACACACAGTGCAGCTTCACAGAGCAGGGCTGCCTCAGATACACATGTGTTAATGGATGTGTGTAAACAGTGGTTATGGGATGCAGACAAACTTGCAGAGAAGAATATTTGTAAATCCTGTTTTTATTTTGTAATCATGAATCAGACATCTATGTGATTGAAGCTTACTGAGGCAGGTATAGGCTGTATTGAGCTAAAACACATGCTGTTCCTGAGGTTGGCCTTCCAAAGATCCTCCTACAAGTATAGTCGAATATACCAAATTGTGTAGTTAATACAATATGTATTTGTTCTGCTTGGAATAATTCAGGTATTCCCTAATGACACTGCATGTTCAGCAACTGTTAAAAAGGATGTTATTGAAGCCACATACGTTTGTTTATTCATCTTAAACATAGATGAGTAATGCTAGATTGATGGTAGTGGTGATTCAACCTCTCGAAAGGGCTCTCCAGTTTGTTGTGTTTTATGTTCCTTTGCTGTTCACTCTCCTATTCTGGGTCAGGCATTTGGACTGTGTTGATAAGGGAAGAGGTGGATCTGTCTGAGTCATTACAGAAGTCAAACTGGCCAATCTGAAACCTCCCTGTGAGTGCTGGCAATCCTCGACTGGAACATTTACTACAGAACAGTTTTCTATTATGGCTCTAGTGGGGACCTCCTTTGGATCTGATCTCAGCAAAGTCCTGATGCTGGGGGTAATTTCAAAGGAATAGTTCAACATTTTTTGCAACTGTTAACAAGGGTGAATTTAATGTCTGTGTGCTAAATATTGAGCTACAGCAAGCAGGCTGATGGCTATTAACTTTTACAATAGTGATCACAAATATCACGTCCTACTCCGATGTTTATGTCGGCAAAATTAAGATTATACTGCTTGTAGATGAAGACTATAGCAAAAGGAATCGAGATCCACCATTGGTTGCTGCTGTGTGTTGTCATTATGCATAATGCTTGTCTGCCATATTGGAGCACGCCAAGATTCACTAGTAAACAAATACAATGTGTATTGTGAGATGCACACACCTTTGCGAAATGACTGTATCTATTACAAAAATGTGTAGATCTGATCAACATGCAAATAACGTGCCGACTCACGTTGCCAGAATATCTGCGCATGGTTAAAGCATAGATAGCTGCAGAGAAAAAGATGCAGCTAAAAAAACCTGTGTGTGTGTGTGTGTCTGCCTCAATATCAGCTTGTATATCTTTCAATACTGGATCTATTTTCTTTTTGTACTACAGCTTGACATTCAATAGATAACAACAACACATATTAGTATGGGATCGCTCCTAGTACTGATACTGTTGATGCTCATGACAGTGACTGTTATAACCAACAAAAGGACGGTGGGAACCATGACACACACAGACATCGAGTGGAGCCACACCTACCCATATTTCCACCACTACATGCTGTGTGGAAATGAGAGAGAGGAGGAAAAAGTAAGTTGCCGTAGTCATTTTAAACACGACACATAAAAACACATCTATCCAACAGTTAACGCTATTGGATTATGAGGTTATGACAGTGAGTATAAGGTTTTATACTTGACATACCCTCTAACTGAAGGTAATGTCTGTCTGGCCTATGCAATTTGAAGCTCGATAAGAGGATCAATACTAATCTTCCCAGCAAACTCTGAGCAATAGAGAAAATAAGAGTTTCCAAAATGTTGAACTATTCCTTTATAAATAAGACGGACATTTCATTTTTACAGTTAAGGTTCATATGATGGAGTGTCTCCTATCTTTGAGGTGTCTTGAAGCGGATTTCTAATGCGAGCGTTTAGACTCCTTGTGGGTGAAATTGTTAGTGTGTGATGATAACAAGCAGCCCCTGTGAACTCTTTCAGCAGCTGTGGTCCAGCTTCAGTACATCATGTATCAGTAGAGACCAGCTGAAAACACAACTGCTTGTATGTGTGTGTGAGCGCAAATGTGTGTGTGACAATTCCATCCGAAATGTTCAATTCAAGTATACAGTATATAAAATAAATTAACAACCCTGTGGCTCGATTTTAACCTTAGAATATTATAATTACCTTTTTACTGAGAAACAAAGGAAAACAGCAATAACAGTTTAAAACGTATTAGACTCAGTATTAAATTCAAATCTCTCCGATCGAGGACCCATTTTTCTTATTTTGTAAATTATGTATTTGACCCAATTTACAGGGCTAGTGGACCATTATTCCAATCGCAAATCCAGGAGGAGGAACAGTGGACCAGATCTTTACCCTCTGCCCATCTAGTCAACATGTGTGGGCTCAGAGAACGATTTAAACCTTGTCCTCCTTGTAGTATTTTCGGGCCTAATGTGTGTGTGTGTGTGTGTGTGTGTGTGTGTGTGCGTGCGTGCGTGCGTGCGTGCGTGCGTGCGTGCGTGCCTGCGTGCGTGCGTGTGTATTTTAACACTAACCCCGTCAGCCTTGTCCTCGGTGTTGGCCAGCATCTCCTGAAGGGCTCGTACCGAAAGCGACTGCTCCAACACAAAAGTGCAGATGGACAGATCTGGAGGCACATTCTGAAACAATAGGAACATACCTTAGAGAATGTATGTGTGTCATTTTGATAGCCAAATAACTCAAAAATAACTTCACAAATCTAATGTAACTCATACTATCTTCCTGTGATACAGTAGTAGACAGGGTTGACAGGAATGTATAATTATCAGACATAAGGACATTTCTGTCAGTTTTATAACCACTCAAATCTGACATCAGCAGTGATTTTAGCCTAATGCTTCTCAGAGATAAAGCCCTGTCATATCCCTAGCATTATCCTATGAACTGACAGTGGGTGTGTAGCTGTCAATAATTAATGTACAGCAGAAGATTGTCACTGATTAATAATATTGCTAGAACTACGATGCAGTGACTAATACTGCTTCGGGCTTCACGCCAGCCAGGTTAAGCTGAACAAGTTAACACCAAACCACTGAGAAATTGTATTCTTTACTTCCCACATACAACTTAACTCTTTGTAATTTGTCAGAGATTACTAATTCATCCTTTTTAAAGAATTTATTATAAGGTTTAATTTATTTTCTGCTTTGTCAAAACGATAAGGTGTATTTAACCTCAACTTTAAACATGAAGCAAAAGACTATTATGACTTGTAATTCATATTGTTTCAATCAATATCGTCAAGTTTTATTTATGTGAATAAACTGTTAACCTGTATTTGTGTTTAGAGAGTAAGGCTCCATATCCAAATGTGCATATTCTGCATGATATTCTGCTTCATATAAAACCATATGCTATTCCATTAACAATTCAGTGGACTCGAACATGGTTTAGACGTCTGAATCTAAGGTCCTGAAGCAGGGGAATGCATTAGAGCCTGTAGAGTACCTTGGAGTTGGAGATGGATTCAAGGAAGCAGAGTCTGTTTCCGAAGCCTTCAGCAGCCAGACACAGCTTCTGTTGCTCCTTGTAGATTGTGGCTGAGCACTGTAGGACCACCTCATCATCCTAAACACACACACAAAGGTACAGTTACAAATCAAGACATTCATTGACATTGATCTAGTGCCTATTGTAGGCGGTGGCTAAAAACAGCTTCTTCCTGGAGCACTCTAAATCACAAACTCACTCACTTTCACATCCGAAATGACAGAGTTAACACTACATCTCCTCACTGCGAAGTGTCAAATGGCACACACACATGTATGTAAACCGTAGTAAATAATAAAGAGTAAACAAGTTTGCCCAGGGCAGCCACAAAATGAAGCAAACAGACAGGTGTAGACTGAAGCCATTGCTTCTTACATCTACCATTCTCACTCAGTTGATGAACAAACAGTCAACAATACAGACATTTATAAAAAGTCTTGATTCTCTTAAATATTTGTACACAATAACTATTGCTAAGTTAAGGTTAGAGAAACATTGTGGTTACTGTTGAGAAGAAAATGCCAATCCGCCAACACACATCCAGCAATTTTGCAAAAAAAGAAAATGTCTGTTCTGTTGTGCCTCTAATCCTGGATTAAACCAGATAACCAAGCCCATTGTGTAGCTCAGACAGATACATGTTGCATTAGCCATTCTCTTTCATTTGTGCATTTAAATCAGGAGTTAGATTGAAAGGGGCAAAGTGGCATCACCGAATATCTCTCTCACACACAAATACACATACAGTACATACCTCTAGAAAAACCAACACATACATTTTTGTGTTATAGAAAGTGGACTGTGTCTTATTAATAATAATCCATGTCAGTATCAATACCCAACAGCTAGCCCTCATTCAAAACGTAATAAAATGACAGACTGTGAATTGACCATGAAATTACAGCAAACGGCGCTACAGAGGAGAGTGTGTTGGAGAGGAAAGGCAAGCCAAAGACATCCTTTGTAGACAATATTCAAACCATAAACTTGCAATTATTTAATCAACACTGTAGTAAAACTGTAGAAATAGCTAGTTGCTGCAGTATATTTTGCAGTGTGTTCTGCAGCAAGCCATGATGATGGTGGCACATACAGTACAGATGCGGCAGACAATAGTTTCCAATATCTCAACTGCATTTTTCTTTTTAATGTATTGTCTTTTTGCCTTTCACTGCCCACAACATCGTTAGACCACCTATTAAGGCCACAAACCACACATTATCAAAGGGGCAGAGATAACTAAACCTGGTTCTTATGCTATGAGACAGTAGTGCCCACATCTTTTCAGGGACATTGCTTACTGAAAGATTAAGCTGTTGCACTTGACAAGCAGAACATGCAGATACTCCGGCAAGATGAGGCTTATACCTCTATTTAACTTATTTGTATATAACTATACCTTTTAAGACCTTTTTTAAGACCCTTTCCATACATTTTAAGACCTCATCGCCACTTTGAGTTTTAACCGGTTACATTGGCGACCCACTTTACCTCAGATTGACTATATACCAGCGACGTGCAGTCAGGGGAGGCAGGGGAGGCAGAGCCTCACCTGTCATACTCCAATGTAACGCAAAAACAACTAAAGAAAAACGAAATAGTAATAATAATAATAATAAAATGTCTCCACTGATCTATGATGTAAGTGTGATTAATGTATGATTCCAATCCCTTTTTTAAAAGTCAAAATCAGCAAATTGTCCGAGCTTCGCTACAACTACGGGTAGCGATGTGAAGTGAGGCAGGGACGAGCTCTGCCTCTCGTAAACCCACGGCCCGTCTACACTACAGGCATGAAAAAATCTTGAAGCTGGGCGTGTCTGAAGCTTGGCGATTTTTTGCGAGCAACCAATCACATGAATCTCCCGCCCCCGACATACAAAGCAATAGCAATGTTAAAACGAAGTAAACTGGATATAAACTCTCCAAACAGGCGAAAAAACGATCAGTTTCAACCCCCTGTCTCTGCCACCTCCCTCCATGCCTGGTTCCTCCGGTTTGTATCCCGGTAAATAGTTCCGGTCGTAAAGAACAGGGTGATTTGCTACCGTAATACCTCAGACTGCCAAGGCACAC